CAAACCTTTCGGCGCTGGAAATGAAGCAACGCGCGGTCAGAAACGCAGCACCTCAGACCGAGTCTTTGCATCTTTGCTTTTAAAACATTTTAAAGTAAAAGAAGGGATTAAAAGGTGCTATTTGGTTGCATAAATATAAGTGTATTTCAGCCACGTTACTGCGCTCCCTTACTGTACCCGCTGTGACTTTCTAAACTGTACACAAGTGTGGTATTCAAGCTTTAATATGTAAAGTTAACACATGTATTAAAGCGCCACAGAGGTCACAGCTTTTATGAGCTGCGCGGGGGAGAGTTATAAGCTGAAGCGAGCAGCCGGCTGCAGTGGTCAGCCTTCTCCCAGCGAGGCGCCGCGTGACCTTTGAGGAAGCTGGGCCTTTAATGCTGGAGCAGTTACCGTTGGGTTCATGTGCGCCGCCACATCCTTCCTGTCCTGATCGATGCCAACTTACCCAGCATACCGATGCCCAGCATGAAGGCGTCCATCCCATACGGCATCACCCGAGAGCGCCCCCTGGCCGAGCCGGTGGGGGACATCACCTCCTTGGGCTGCGCTTTCTTGCACTCCACCTGTTTTCCAGAAGAGAGGAGAATGATCACACCTTAGTTTCTATGTTGTGCTGATGCAAGAGTGGCAAATCGAGCCCTCGTACCATTTTATTGTTGATCTCGTGGAAGTGGATCTCGCACACTTTCTCCACCACGTCTTCATTCTCAAATGTTACAAAGCCGAATCCTGACGAGCAGAAGGCAAGTTTGTAAGTTAAAAAACAGTAGATCGTAATAATTCACACAACACGCTGGAACTAGACAATAGGCCTTTCTGTACAGTAGTACAGCTAAATAGTGTGGAGTAATTAGTGGTGTAATAGCCGCTTAACACATTGCCCCCCTCCTTCTTTCAATGCTCCTTTTTCTGCACTCATCCTTCCTTCCCTCCCTCCCTTCCTGGCCAGAAGGCCCAGGCAAAGCTGGTAGGCTGTCATAATCGATCAATCCCAGGGTGGGGAGGAGGTGCTTAAGGAGGCTTTATCCTGATCCCGATTAACGGACTGGCTAATTAGACTAGCCCCGTTCGTCTCCTTGCAGCTCAGCCCACAGGAAGGAGGACGATGGGGGGTGTGGAGGGGTTGGAGAGGGATCAATAGACAACCAGAAATGGGTGGGGGAACAGTAGAGGAAAAAAAAACGAGGAAGAGTTGAGGGAAGGCGGGGTCAGTCCATCTCACCTCTGTGTCTGTTGGTGGTCTTGTCGAACATGAGCATGGCATCGTCGACCTGAGGGGAGACAAACAACACAGTTTCTTACTCAGAGCTCTCTCTCTCTCTTTCTCTCTCTCACCACGCGGCATATTGCCTGACCTCAGCCCTTCTCAAGTTCTGCAGGGAGGCTCAGCAACAGATGGACAGAAAGCGGGAGGAGGGGAGGGGGGAGGCAGAGGGAGGGCTGCAGACGAGCGACAGGTTACAAAGAGGAGGCCGAGGGGGCAAAAACAGGAAGATATGTTGAAAAACTCCACAACAAGCTCACGTACATAACGGGCGATACAAAAAGTTGGAAGCTGCGTTAGCTCCTTCTTACAGAGAGCTAATAAACCACCCACCCACCCTCTGACCCCCTCCAGAGTTTGATAACCATGGCAACTGTACAAAAAGTCCTTATAAGAAAAAAAAGGGGGGAAAAGAAAAAGAAAGGAAAGTTCAAGCCCAACATCAAATATGCCTTATGAATGATGGGAGAGTGCCAATGACACAAAGAGCACTGCAAAGAGAGAAACACTGACACACACACACACACGAAAAAGTAGCGAGTCACAAGCAGAAAGGTGAATCCATCGGGCAGGTGGCGACTCGATGAGAGGGGAGAGCTGATAGTGAGAGGAATAGCGACAGGTGGAGATGTGGTGAAAGAGAGCACAGAGAGTCCTGTAAGAGGGAGAAAGGGGAAAAAAGGAAAAAAGAGTGGGTCAAAGTGGAAAGGGAGGAAAAAGAGGAGACAAAGGGAGAGGGAGAGGGAGAACAAAGAGGCCTGGAGGCTTTGTTTGTTGGCACAGTCAGCCATAATTCCTCCTCCTCTTCTCCCTTTGACCTCTCCCTCTGGCCCGGCCTCCCTTTATAGAGCAAAGACACAGGTGTCTGTTCGACACACACACACACACACACACACACACACACACACACACACACACACACACACATTCTTTTGCCGTCCAGCAATATGCTTGCAGAGGGCCACTTGTAGGAGGAACCGCATTTATTGCAGATATCATTTAAATCTGTTACATTTATAATCATAATCACATTACAACTAATGCTACACAACAGGACAACAGGACTTATGAAGTCATATACATAT